AAAAAAAACAAATTTTTTAAATAACGGTCAGAAAATAAAACAAAACAAAACAATTTTATATTTATATTTTTAATAATAATTAATTTATTATATTTAATTAAATTTATTTATTTTAATATAAATAAAAAAAATTAAAAATTAATTATTTAATAAACTTATTTTCATTTTTAAAATAATTAAATTAAATAATTTTTATTCCACTTTTTATTTATTAATTTTATATTTATATTTTTAATAATAATTAATTTATTATTTTTAATTAAATTTATTTATTTTAATATAAATAAAATAAATTTAAAAATAAATTATTTAATCAAATTATTTTTATTTTTAAAATAATTAAATTAAATAATTTTTATTCCACTTTTTATTTATTAATTTTATATTTATATTTTTAATAATAATTAATTTATTATTTATAATTAAATTTATTTATTTTAATATAAATAAAATAAATTTAAAAATAAATTATTTAATCAAATTATTTTCATTTTTAAAATAATTAAATAAAATAATTTTTATTCCACTTTTTATTTATTAATTTTATATTTATATTTTTAATAATAATTAATTTAATATATTTAATTAAATTAATTTATTTTTAATATAAATAAAATAAATTTAAAAATTAATTATTTAATTAACTTATTTTTATTTTTAAAATAATTAAATAAAATAATTTTTATTCCACTTTTTATTTATTAATTTTATATTTATATTTTTAATAATAATTAATTTATTATATATAATTAAATTTATTTATTTTTAATATAAATAAAATAAATTTAAAATAAATTATTTAATAAAATTATTTTCATTTTTAAAATAATTAAATTAAATAATTTTTATTCCACTTTTTATTTATTAATTTTATATTTATATTTTTTAATAATAATTAATTTATTATATTTAATTAAATTTATTTATTTTAATATAAATAAAATATATTAAAAATAAATTATTTAATAAAAATTATTTTCATTTTTAAAAATTAAATTAAATAATTTTTATTCCACTTTTTATTTATTAATTTTATATTTATATTTTTAATAACAATTGATTTATTATATTTTAATTAAATTTATTTATTTTAATATAAATAAAAATTTAAAATAAATTATTTAATCAAATTATTTTCATTTTTAAAATAATTAAATTAAATAATTTTTATTCCACTTTTATTTATTAATTTTTATATTTATATTTTTTAATAATAATTAATTTATTATATATAATTAAATTTATTTATTTTAATATAAATAAAATATATTAAAAATAAATTATTTAATAAACTTATTTTCATTTTTAAAATAATTAAATAAAATAATTTTTATTCCACTTTTTATTTATTAATTTTATATTTATATTTTTAATAATATTTAATTTATTATTTATAATTAAATTTATTTATTTTAATATAAATAAAATATATTAAAAATAAATTATTTAATTAAATTATTTTCATTTTTAAAGTAATTAAATAAAATAATTTTTATTCCACTTTTTATTTATTAATTTTATATTTATATTTTTAATAATAATTAATTTATTATTTTTAATTAAATTAATTTATTTTAATATAAATAAAAAAAAATATAAAAAAAAAAAGAAAAAAAAAAAAGATTAAATTATCTAAAACTCGGCCACCGAGATTTGAACTCGGGCCACCTGAGTGACAGTCAGGCATTCTACCCCTATACTATGGCCGATTATATTTAAATATTTTAAATATTTTATTTTTTCTTATTTTTTTTTTTAAATTTTGTTATTATTTATTTACTTTTTTTATTTTTTATTTTTTTTATTAAATTTATATCAAAATAATTAATTATATTTAATTAATATTTAATTAGTAAATATCTTTAGAAAATGAAATAGAAAAAGACTGTAAATTTAATCTAAATTATTTTAATTAATAAATTAAATAATAAATTAAATAAAATATTTTATTAAATTTATATCAAAATAATTAATTATATTTAATTAATATTTAATTAGTAAATATCCTTAGAAAATGAAATAGACAAAGATTGTAAATTAAATTTAAATTATTCTAATTAAAAATTAAATAAAAAAATAAATAAAATATTTTAATAAATTTATATTAAAATAATTAATTATATTTAATTAATATTTAATTAGTAAATATTCTTAGAAAATGAAATAGAAAAGATTATAAATTAAATCTAAATTATTCTAATTAAAAAATTAAATAATAAATTAAATAAAATATTTTATTAAATTTATATCAAAATATTTAATTATATTTAATTAATATTTAATTATAAAATATCCTTAGAAAATAAAATAGAAAAAGATTATAAATTTAATTTAAATTATTCTAATTAAAAAATTAAATAATAAATTAAATAAAATATTTTAATAAATTTATATCAAAATATTTAATTATATTTAATTAATATTTAATTAGTAAATATCTTTATGAAATAAAATAGAATAAGATTATAAATTTAATTTAAATTATTCTAATTAATTTTTTTTTTCATTTTTCATTTTTCATTTTTCATTTTTCATTTTTCATTTTTAAAATGAATGATTTTGTTCCTGAAACAATAGTTATTGATAATGGTACATCAGAAATAAGAGCAGGAATTGCAGGAGAAGACGAACCAATAAAAATTTTACCAACAATAATAGGAAAACCAAAGAATTTTGGAGTTGTACTTGGAATGGGAAAAAAAGACTATTATATTGGAAAAGAAGCACAATTTAAAAAAGAAATATTGAATCTAGAAAATCCAATTCAAAAAGGAATAATAACAAATTGGGAAAACATGGAAAAAATATGGAATTATCTTTTCGAAAATGAATTGAAAATCAATCCTTCAGAAACTCCCATTTTATTAGCAGAAACTATTTTAACTCCAAAAAAAGACAGAGAAAAAGTGACTGAAATTATGTTTGAAAAATTTCAAGTTTCACAATTTTATGTTGGATTTCAAGAAGTATTATCACTTTATGCAAATGGAAGAACAACAGGAATAGTAATTGATTTAGGTGAAGAAATTTCTAGAGGAATTCCTATTATAGAAGGTTATAGTGTTCCCAATTCAATTTTTAGTGTTGATATTGGTGGTTCTGATTTAACTGAATATTTGATTCAAATGATAAATCAAAAAAATTATCCATTTACTCATTCGCTTGAAAAACAAGTTTTCCAAGAAATCAAAGAAAAAATTTGTTATGTTGATATGGATTTTAATGACAAAATGGAAATTCCTTTTCAATCAAATTTGGAAAATGAAATTGATTTTGATTTGGGTGATGGAAATGTTATCAAATTAGGAAATGAACGAATAAAATGTCCAGAAGCTTTCTTTAAACCTTTATTAATTGGAAAAGAGGAGCCTGCAATTCATGAAACTGTTTTTAATTCAATTATGAAATTTGAGCCAAGCAAACAAAAGGATTTTCTTTGTCATATTCTTTTAACAGGCAGATCTTCATTTTTTCCAGGAATTCAAGAACGTTTTCAAGCTGAATTATATTCTTTGTTAAATCCAAAAACACCACTCAAAGTTGTTCTAAATCAAGATTTCAAATATACTGCTTGGGTTGGTGGTTCTATTTTGGCTTCACTTACTTGTAATTATCACATGTGGATTCGAAAAGAAGAATATAAAGAAAGTGGATGCCAAATAGTTCATAAAAAATGTTATTAAATGCAAAACAATTTAAATATTTAAAAATAAATTGATATTCCACTTTTTATTTATTATTTTTATATTTATATTTTTAATAATAATTAATTTATTATTTATAATTAAATTTATTTATTTTAATATAAATAAAATAAATTTAAAAATAAATTATTTAATTAAATTATTTTCATTTTTAAAATAATTAAATAAAATATTTTTATTCCACTTTTTATTTATTAATTTTATATTTATATTTTTAATAATAATTAATTTATTATTTATAATTAAATTTATTTATTTTAATATAAATAAAATAAATTTAAAAATAAATTATTTAATAAAATTATTTTCATTTTTAAAATAATTAAATTAGATAATTTTTATTCCACTTTTTATTTATTAATTTTATATTTATATTTTTAATAATAATTAATTTATTATTTATAATTAAATTTATTTATTTTAATATAAATAAAATATATTTAAAAATAAATTATTTAATAAACTTATTTTCATTTTTAAAATAATTAAATTAAATAATTTTTATTCCACTTTTTATTTATTAATTTTTATATTTATATTTTTAATAATAATTAATTTAATATATTTAATTAAATTTATTTATTTTAATATAAATAAAAAATATAAAAATAAATTATTTAATAAACTTATTTTCATTTTTAAAATAATTAAATAAAATAATTTTTATTCCACTTTTTATTTATTAATTTTATATTTATATTTTTAATAATAATTAATTTATTATTTATAATTAAATTTATTTATTTTAATATAAATAAATAATATTAAAAATAAATTATTTAATAAACTTATTTTCATTTTTAAAATAATTAAATTAAATAATTTTTATTCCACTTTTTATTTATTAATTTTATATTTATATTTTTAATAATAATTAATTTATTATTTATAATTAAATTTATTTATTTTAATATAAATAAAATAAATATAAAATAAAATATTTAATAAAATTATTTTCATTTTTAAAGTAATTAAATTAAATAATTTTTATTCCACTTTTTATTTATTAATTTTATATTTATATTTTTAATAATAATTAATTTATTATATTTAATTAAATTTATTTATTTTAATATAAATAAAATAAATTTAAAAATAAATTATTTAATAAAATTATTTTCATTTTTAAAATAATTAAATTAAATAATTTTTATTCCACTTTTTATTTATTAATTTTATATTTATATTTTTAATAATAATTAATTTATTATATTTAATTAAATTTATTTATTTTAATATAAATAAAAAAAAATTAAAAAAAAAAAGAAAAAAAAAAAAAGATTAAATTATTTAAAACTCGGCCACCGAGATTTGAACTCGGGCCACCTGAGTGACAGTCAGGCATTCTACCCCTATACTATGGCCGATTATATTTAAATATTTTAAATATTTTATTTTTTCTTATTTTTTTTTTTAAATTTTGTTATTATTTATTTACTTTTTTTATTTTTTATTTTTTTTTATTAAATTTATATCAAAATATTTAATTATATTTAATTAATATTTAATTAGTAAATATCTTTAGAAAATGAAATAAAAAAAGATTATAAATTTAATCTAAATTATTTTAATTAATAAATTAAATAATAAATTAAATAAAATATTTTAATAAATTTATATCAAAATAATTAATAATATTTAATTAATATTTAATTAGTAAATATCTTTAGAAAATAAAATAGAAAAAGATTATAAATTTAATCTAAATTATTTTTAATTAATAAATTAAATAATAAATTAAATAAAATATTTTTATTAAATTTATATCAAAATAATTAATTATATTTAATTAATATTTAATTAGAAAATATCTTTAGAAAATGAAATAGAAAAAGATTATAAATTTAATCTAAATTATTCTAATTAAAAATTAAATAATAAATTAAATAAAATATTTTAATAAATTTATATCAAAATAATTAATTATATTTAATTAATATTTAATTAGTAAATATTCTTATAAAATAAAATAGAAAAAGATTATAAATTTAATTTAAATTATTCTAATTAAAAATTAAATAATAAATTAAATAAAATATTTTAATAAATTTATATCAAAATATTTAATTATATTTAATTAATATTTAATTAGAAAATATTCTTAGAAAATAAAATAGAAAAAGATTATAAATTTAATTTAAATTATTCTAATTAAAAATTAAATAATAAATTAAATAAAATGTTTTATTAAATTTATATCAAAATATTTAATTATATTTAATTAATATTTAATTAGAAAATATCTTTAGAAAATAAAATAGAATAAGATTATAAATTTAATTTAAATTATTCTAATTAATAAATTAAATAAAAAATTAAATAAAATATTTTATTAAATTTATATCAAAATATTTAATTATATTTAATTAATATTTAATTAGAAAATATCCTTAGAAAATGAAATAGAAAAAGATTATAAATTAAATCTAAATTATTCTAATTAATAAATTAAATAAAAAATTAAATAAAATATTTTATTAAATTTATATTAAAATAATTAATTATATTTAATTAATATTTAATTAGAAAATATCTTTAGAAAATAAAATAGAAAAAGATTATAAATTTAATTTAAATTATTCTAATTAAAAAATTAAATAAAAAATTAAATAAAATGTTTTATTAAATTTATATCAAAATATTTAATTATATTTAATTAATATTTAATTAGAAAATATCTTTATAAAATGAAATAGAAAAAGATTATAAATTTAATCTAAATTAAAAAAAATTTAATTGATGAAATTGATCTTAATTTAAATTTTAAATAAAAAAAATAAATAATTTTTTGAGTTGGATTTGACAAAGAAAATTAAAAAGGAGATAAAAGGAGAATTTTATTTAAAAAAAATAATTAAAAAATAAAATTGATCAATAATGCCCAAATAAACAAAAGAAGAAATTAAATTAAAAGAAGAAATTTTTTTTTTCATTTTTTTATTTTTCATTTTTCTTCTTTTTTTTTTTTGCTTTTTTTTAATTATAAAATCTTAATTTTTTTTAATTAAATATAATTTTGTTTTTGTTATTTTAAAATTAATTTTTTACAAAACAAAACAAAACAAATTAAATTATAAAAAATTAATCAAAAAAAAAATATAAAAAAAAAAAACGAATTTTCTTATAAATTTCAAAAACGAATGGAACAAGAAAAATCATTTACAAAAATTGAAACACATGAAAACTTTGCAAAAGTAAGAAATAAAAAATAAACAAAAAAATAAATAAAAAATAATAAAAATAAAAAATTTGAAGTATTCAAAAATAATTGGAAAAGGAGCTTTTAAAACAGTATTTTATGGAATTAATTTAGAACAAGGAAATGAAATTGCATGGAATGAAATAGATTTAGGAAGAATTAGCGAGCAAGATTACAAAAAACTAAAAAAAGAAATAGAAATATTAAAAATAATAAAAAATTCACAAATAATTCGACTTCTTGGTTATTGGTTGGATTCAAACAATGAAAAATTAATTTTTATAACGGAAATGATGCAATCAGGAAGTTTAAGAAATTATATTGATAAATTCAAACAAATAAGTGTTCGCGCAATTAAAAAGTTTAGTTATCAAATTTTACAAGGAATTGATTATCTTCATTCTCTTGATCCTCCAATTATTCATCGTGATATTAAATGTGATAATATTTTTTTTAATGGAAGTGATGGTTCAATTAAAATTGGTGATCTTGGAGAATCTACAATTCTAAATAATGGTTATGCCAAGAGTGTTATTGGTAAATTTCACAATAATTCAAACAAATCAAAAGATTTATTTATTAAATCCAAATTAAATTCAAATTAAATTCAAATTAAATTCAAATTAAATTCAAATTAAATTCAAATTCAAATTAAATTCAAATTAAAATTAAATTCAAATTAAATTCAAATTAAATTCAAATTAAATTAAATTCAAATTAAATTTAAATTCAAATTAAAAATTAAATTCAAATTAAATTCAAATTCAATTAAATTCAAAATCAAATTCAAATTAAATTCAAATTCAAATTAAAAATTAAATTCAAATTCAAATTAAATTCAAATTAAAAATTAAATTCAAATTAAATTCAAATTAAATTAAATTCAAAAAAAAAATGGATCATCTTCTCTCTTTTAGGTACACCTCAATTTATGGCTCCAGAATTATATGATGAAAAATATACAGAAAAAGTCGATATTTATGCATTTGGAATGTCTGTTTTAGAAATGGCAACAGGTGATTATCCTTATTGTGAATGTGAAAATCCTGCTCAAATTTTCAAAAAAGTTACTTCAGTAATTTTAATTATAAAATATTTGATAAATATAAATAATTTTTATATTAAATGTGCTTTTTTATTATTCATTTTATATTTTAATAGGGAATTCCTCCAAAATCATTAAATAAAATTGCAAATCAAGAAATTCAAGATTTTGTAAAACTTTGCTTACTTCCAGAAAATGAAAGACCTTCTGCAAATCAACTTTTAAATCATCCATTTTTTGCTTCATTAAATGTGTCTCAAAATCAATTTTCGACAACAAATGGAAATTTTGAAGATAATTCAACTGATGAACAAATTTCAAATCAAATCCTTGAAACTATTAAAGAAAATGAAAAAAATCAAGAACTGATAAAAATTGAAGAATTTATAAAAATTGAACAAATTATCCAAAATGAAGTTGAACAAAAAAACGAAGAAGTTCCAAAAATTCAAAAAAATTTAAAACAATTCATTAAACCAAGACATGCAGTTTCATTACAAGAAAAAAAAGAAAGAATGAAAAAATTAAAAATTATGATCCAAAAAGAATATCTAAAAGATGATTTTTCAAAAACATCAGAAAATTTGAAAGATTTGTTAAATCAAAAAGAAGAAAAAATTGTTGTTTCAAGAAAAAATAGGAGATTTAGTATTTCTGCTATTAAAGACAAAGGAACAAATAGGAAAAATGATTCACCAAATTTTTTAACTCCAATGACTTCAGTTATTCTTGAATCTGAAGAGAACCAGAAAAATTCAAATTCATTTCAATCAAGTTTATTAGAATTTCCATTTTCTTCACAAAATGAAAATTGTGCTTTGGATATAGAAATTCAAAAAAAAAGACAAACCAAATTAACAAATGCTATTAAAAAATTTGATTTGAAATCTAATTTTAGCCCAAATCAAGAATTGGTTCCAATGTCATTAGTTGTTTCAAATAAATTAAAAGAAAGTCCTAATTCAACTTTCTTTTAAAAAGAACTAAAAAATGACACTTTCCTTTTCTTAAAACAAAAAAAATTTCAGTTCATTTTGTTTATTGTTTTTGTTTTTGTTCTTGTTCTCTTTTTTTTTTAAAAAAGATTAATAATAATAATTCAAAAAGAAAAGAAAAAATTTGTTTTTATTCCAACAACAAAATTTGTTTTATTTTTTATTTTTTAATTTTGGTTTTCATTTTCATTTTGATTTTGATTTTGATTTTGATTTTTTTGAAGAATCTTTTTTTTAAGATGTTTTTTCTTTTGTTGATTATTTTTATTATTTTGTTGATTATTTTTTGATTTTTCAAATTTTGGGATTCGATCAATAGTTGCTTTTTCAAGATGAATATAATTAGTTGGATAATATATTAATTCTTTAGGTAATTTTACTTCTGCTTTCACTTTTTCCAATGATTTAAGAGCAAGAAGAAGATAAACTTCGAGAGATTTTGGAAAATAAGTAAAATCAACAAAATCTTTAAAAATTTCGATCCATTCATTTTTTTCAAGAACTGGTTCATATTTTTGACTAAAATTAGAGAATTTCATTAAATCATAACCAGTTCTCTCTTCGATTGAACGGAAACGAAGTTCAATTTGAGTGAATAATTTCTGGTCTTGAGTTTGTTTTTCAGGTTCCAAAGCAAAACCTGTTCTTATTTTTGTTCTTTGCACTTTGAAAACTACAATGTAGCAAAAATAATCACGAACAACTTCAAAACTTGATAAAAAGAATTTGAAAAAGAATTTTTCACTCAAAATAAAATCTGATATCAATTGATTTCGGAAATTGTCAGGAAGAAAATCGATGATATTGTAAATAAAAGCAAGAGTTGTCATTAAATTTTGGTAGTTATCAGTTTCAAGGAGAGTGCGGATTGATTCCAAAAGAAGATTGAGATTAAGAAACTTCAAAGTTGATGAATTAATGAATTTGAGGTTTGAATTCTGGCATGATTTCAAATACACTCTTTTTATTATTGTTTCGCAGTTTGAAAGTGTGCAATCAACACAATGAGCGTTATATGCATTTGTTCTTTTGAGATAGACTTGGAAAATGATATTAATTATTTGTATGTTTGATAATTCGTCAATAAGTTTTATTGTTAATTCTTTTGTGATATCTTCTGGTTTAATT